AACGCTGTGAAGTTTCTCGATGCACGCCCGCTGCGGTGGCTGCTCGTGCTGCCTGCCCAGTGCTGCTTTTTTTTTTTTCTTCCTCTTCTATTTATCTGATTGGCTGTTGTTTCAGCGCTGGACACTTCACTGACTGACAGTTTTGATGCGATTACCCCCCAGAAACCAAGCGGCTGAGCGGTGCCAGGGCTTAAGCTTTCCTATGTGCTGTAAAAGTCCGTTCAGGATGCCCGCTCTGAGATAACAGCCAAACAAAACACACGGTATATTTAATACAAATACAAATGGCTCCAAAATAAAAAACCTATATGAGACATTTCCAGACGTGGGTTTACTCCATGTATGGTTAAATGTTTATGTCTGTGTGCAATTGAGCATCCATGACAGACTTTTTTCCCCGCTCCATCTGGCCCCTCTTCTACATTCATCGATTTGGACCCGGTGCACTTTGACATTCCTCCTCCCTGCCCCTCCATGCATATGCATACACATATATACATCCATGCCTCCTGTCTCCTTCCTTTTCCTCCAGCCGCTGCCTGTCCTTCCCTGCCTTCCTCCCCAGTCTGGGAGCGGTGGAAACGGGGGCCGAGCGATAGCCGATAGCCCCCCTGCGAGCGCTCGTCTGGGCCGCTGCCTGTTTTCGCCTCTCGCCGCTCAGCCACTCTATCTATCTCGCCTGTGCGTCCTCGCCTCACATAAATCATCCTCAATCGCACCGCACGGACAGGCAGAACAGAGAGAAATATCCCCCCGTAAATCTGGTATTAGTTTTACCTCGCATAATGAACACAGGGCTAAACGGTCCTGGATACATGAGAACAGCATGTCTTGCAGATGTACTATAAATATTTTGATACTAGCCGGCTAGTTTGCAGAGGGGAAGTAGACCAGTGAAATACACAGAGGAAGGGAAAAGTGTAAAGTGGAATGTTGGCCTAGCCCGAGTGTCTGTATTGTCTTTAGCACCTACAGAGAGTCTCGGTCCAAGAAAAACGCTCTTTACAGGGTTCCTGTTCCCAGCCGTGGTCCGGTACCACTCCTGGATACGCTGCGTTTCCTTCAAGCCAATCCTTCAAACTGGTCTCCGAGGAGGGGGGCTCATTGTGTGATTAATAGCTCGATCTGCCCTGATTGAGTGATAGATGGCTTTGAAGGGAAAACCAGCTCGACTTTAGGGACGCTCTGGGAGCGAGGCTGGGAGAGGCGGCCCCGGGGAGGCTTTGATTGGTGGAACGGATGAATTAAAGTGAAGGACTAATAATAGCATAGCTAATGGCACTGCTCGATGGCTTTAAAGGTATTCTGTTGCAGCTATGTAAAGGACATACAAACACACGCGTGCACCGAGTGGAACTTTTCTGGCATGTTTCTGGCCGCGGTCCCGGCACTGTCACCCGACCCCATCAAAGAGCCGCACACACAAAGAAACGCTGCAAATCCAGTCAGTGACAGCAGGTGGTGCGTGACACGTCAACATCTGAAGGTTCCCTGGCAGACACGGAACCGGCTCTCAGCTCCGTGCCCCCCTCAGATCTATCATTGGGACTCTTTAATGGCAGCCTTCGTCACATATTACTGCTTTATTTTCTCCTCTCCATCTCCCAGCCCACAGAAGTTCCTTTTTTGTTCCTATTTTTAAGTACAAGTGATCTCAATTAGGGACCTCCATGAAGGCAGTAGGCGGCAGACAGTCAGAGCAATAAGAGCAGAGAGGAAATTGTCTTTATACCCCTCCTCCCTCCCTCCCTCCCTCCCTCTCTCTTTTACCCTCCTGCCACAAGCAGCGAGCAGCCGCCCCCTCCATCTCTTTCCATGCAGCTCTCGAAAAAAAAAAAAAAAAAAACCCAGAGTGAAATATCAGGCAAACTCTTTCTGCATCTCCTGCTGAAATATATTAAAGTCTGCAGGCACGAGGACGCTGCAGCCGCCCTGATGCAGCTCGGACTGCGCGCGCATTCGAACGCACCGCAGAACGTGCCGGCCTCGTCCCGGCAGTTCACGGTGATGTCACGGGGCTCGATCGCAAACAGTCATTAAGGTCTTAGCTGTGATCTGGGATTCAAGTGCGTGGATGCGAGTCGATGAGGTCAGGAGGAGTAAAGTTTCTTGCCCGTCGTCATCCTCCTCCTCCTCCTTCTCTCCTGGCTTGCTGATTCACTAATTGGTCCGCTAACCGGCCTAGCTGGTTCTGCGGCTCCTCGGTTGATTGGCGAGCAGACCGGGGTCTTTGGCCGGTTTTCGTCCGTCGAGCCCGGTGGGCCATCGCTGATTGGCTTGCTGGCAGGCCGCGCGTCCGCCTGGTGGCCTGCCAAACATGGAAACATCCCGTTAGAGCTGAAAAAGCCTGGGCCTCGTCAGTGCACTCCTCTAGAAAGCTATAATTAAGTGTCTTGAAAAATGCACCACTGTGAAATGGAGCCTTAATCCTGAGCCTTAAGTGGCTGTACTTTTCTTCTTGAATGATGAGAGCACGGCTCGTGGAGAGAAGGAGCGAGGAAGAGACGCTAATGTAGCTTAAAAATTAAAGCATTCACAAGAGCCCGAATTCAGGTCCTGCCTAAACTGTTGATTTTTCAGCTTTAGCTCTGAGCTCTCTGACGAGGTGTTGCTCGTATCTGTGCACGTCAAACTGCTGCACAAGACACACACAGATTTCTGCACGTTTTCCAGTTCGCTGACAACATTACAGACGGCGTACATATTAGCGGTTCGCGCAGTCTTTGTCATTCCAAGTGGGAATGAGAACAGAAACTTTTATTACGCGCTTGATATCTCGACAGGGAAAATTAGCCGGAGAATGTCAGCCGAGTTTGATTTTTATTGAAAACAAATAATTGAAACTGAGCGGCAGAAATACAATATTACCATAAATCATAAAACGCACATCCTGCTCAATGTGGTACGCTGTGGTTCTTCACTGTTAGTGACTTCTCCTACTGTGCAATGACTCCAAGCCAGTGTAACACAGTAGATGAATAATACCAGAGCTGAGAGAGACGATCCAGCTGTGCACCAGGCGAGCAGCAGACCCCGCTGGATAGCTAAACAGCTTTATGCTAGATTCATTACTACATCATATTAAATCTGCTAATACGGAGCAGGATCGGTCGCGTATCCGAAAAAAAAGTCCAAATGTTCCAAGCGTTCACATTTAATCAAAATGTAATATTTTGGAGGGGAGTTGGAATAAATCCGCGACATTGAGGCGGGGAAGTGGGTTTTTTTTTTTCTGATTGAACAGCGTTTTCTGGCACATTAACGCCTTCTCTTGCTGTCTCCTTCACATCTAAGCGACATCAAACGGTGGATTTCTTATTTTTTTTTGGGCAGAGTTCGGGCCCAGTACCTCTGAATGACATAGAGCCAGACAGCGAGGGCCCCGGCGGTACGAACGTATCCTGTAGGGAGCTGCAAGACAGATGCTGGATGTGCAGCGGTGAAGGAAAGCGGAGTCAGATGGGACAAACACTCTTTGATGAGCAGAGCTTGTCAGGGTTTAAGTCACGACTACGGTTGAGGAAGAGGGGAGTGTTTTTGGGGGGCCTGGGGAAAATATGTTGCCTCTAGATGGGACAAATCCAAATTTTGAGACTGATTAGTTTGCCTTAAAATAAAAAAAATAAAAAGTTGGTGAGTTCCTACACTGCACAAATGCAAGTAGACAGCTCTTAAATTAAATTCCATTTCAAATTTGAGTCAGAATTAAAAGTAATAGGGCTGATTAGGCTGCTGGCATGTTATTTCATCCCTAACATTTCCTAAATTAAATTCAACATTTAGGATGTTTTCCACATTATTCCACATGTATTCCAAAAAAAAAAAAAAGAGACAATATTATCGGAGCTGAAATTTAACTCTGTTGGAATAACCGGCTCCACGGTTCCTGCAAGGCCATGTTTATCGCTATTACAGATTTAATTACTACAATTCGCATTTATCCATCCATGAATTGTTAGTTGATCTTTGAGAATGTTGGACAATGTGAACCATATTTCTGGTGTTTGGGGCACACAGAAGGGAAGTGTAACTCAATCACTCTTTTTTTTTTTTTCTTCTTCTTCTTCTTCTTCCTCCCCTCCACCACCCCATCCACATGACGAGGTGCCAGATGCGTGTCAGTGCTTTCAGACTTTATATATATCCCTCCCACATCCTCACACTCGCACACATGCTAACAGACGTGCATGCATGTGCACACACACGTACGTACATACTTATGAAACATAAGAAGTCGAGTTATTTCAAGTGCTGCAGTACAGAGAGTAAACGCTGTTTTTTTTTCTTTTCTCCCCCTGTCGCTGCACAGGAATCTTTTTGGTAAAAAAGTAACTTTACAGCTTAAAAAACAAGCTACAAAAAAAGCCCCGACAGGATCCAAATAACCCCGACAGCTGTGCCCTCCCAGTCACTGCCATTTATTTTGAAGCAGGCCTTGGAGTATCAAAGACCTTTGTCTTAAAGAGTCGCGGCAATAAAAAATCCTGTTTGGGAGTAATGGAAAAAAAAGGAACACAGAGTGGCAACACACATGCTGCTGTGTGATGTGGCACTCAGAAAAGTCTCATCGGGAGACTGATGGGTAATCAGGGCCGAGGGTGGGGTGGGTGATGAGAGCCGGCTGAGATATGGAGTCTCACAGAGGGTAGATGATGCCCTCTACAGTAGACACAGGAGGGGCAGGCGGAGGAGGCCTTTCCACTTTGAGCTTTCAGAGCAGAATCCACTCTGAATATTTCAGCAGTAAAAACTGAAGCATTAAATAATCTTTTGTTTTCTTCACCTAAAATATTTTTTTCCTCGTAGTGTTGCTTTGGTACATGAGTATGAATTTGAAATTCATGCTTTTTAAAGTAGTTTTTCATGATAATATATGATTTTTTGTGTTTTTGCCACACTTTTTAAATTGTACAATTTTCAAGATACATTTTTTTGCAGTGTTACACAAATTCAAGTATAAAATTAAATAAAAATACATCTGTTTTATTTAAAATTAAACTGAAACTGGAAATACAATCATTCCTCCTGCAGAAAAACAGCTTCTGTGAGTGTTCCATCTTACATTATTATTCCAGATCAGCTATAAGTAGCAGTTTACTGTTGTAAGTGGTTGCCATAGTTGTAATTTTCACCATTTTATAAAAGCCTGAATAGATTATTTTACAGGAATCCCTCATATTTTACAAACTTGACATATGTTTTGTGTAAAATTTGAAGAAATCTGCCCAAAATTTATATTTTAAAGAAAGAAAATCCAGGAATTAGATAAATGTTGTGGAACAGTGTGTTTTTTTGTTTGTGCAAGTAATGCAAAGTTGCATGAAATGTAAATATTCAAGTTAAATGTCAGTAGTGTGTCTCAAATGTGTGCTTAGTCTACCTCTGTTATTTTTATTTAAACAAAATAAATTGTTTGCAAGTCGTGCGTAATTACGCATAGTCCAACTGATCCATCCGTCGGTGCTGTTTGGTTTAATTTACTTTCAGTGAAACAGCTATGTAGTAAATTTAACAAGTATTATGAGGCACAAAAAGAAAATGGTGAAGTTGGGTTTCATATAAACGACTTCAGTAAAAGCGCCCTCGGATCAGGAGACTGCCACATGGGTGGGTGAACATAAATTAAAGCCCGTGTGAAGTAGAATACCTGTACACCTGCACAACAGCTCTCCCCTGCGCCCGACTGAAACTCTACTCCTGCGCCTTGTACCTGACTCACCGCTCTCCGGTGACTCACTCACTCCAACCTTATGGCAGCGTAACTCACTTCTACACCCGAGGCAGCGCTCTGTTAGACGCTGCCGTGAGCCGCAACATTGTCGGGACGTAGCGGTAACGGAACACGGTCTGACGGACTGATGTCTGGAAATGACCACCTCCAGAGTTAGGAGCGTGCGGACGGAACCGGGGAGCGGTAACATGTCGGTATGTACGGCGGGGGGGCTGTGCGTAAAAGTGTGAATAACGACGGAGAGAAAACGGCGTGAGGTGTAGCCCCATGTGTGTTTCATGAAGGTATAGACATTACACGGGGAGCTGTCCGGCACTCTATATAGGCGTGATAGATTATGGCGGAGGGAATGGATCTGACTCCAGACACCACGTGTTGGAGTCGCATCAGCGCAATAATTGCTGGGCGCCCGAGCTATATAAACCACAAAAAGCCTGAGCACGGGAAACCCCGGCCTCCAAACACTAACCACATTTACGGCTACAAAAACGGGATTCGTTTTTCCGCCTCCCTTCATCTCACCGGCGATGATTTTCTTTTCTTTTTTTTCTTTTTTTTTCTTCCTGACTTCATCAACCTTTTTTAACCCTATACAAAAACCTGCGTCTCGGCCGGAAGACTTTCCACTAAAATACGCACAATTTGCAGGCGTCGTGGGATTATAAATAGCCCTGTTAAGTATTGTTAAAGCTTATTCCTTTGACTTTGAAAACTTTTTTTGTGTGTGTACATAGCCTGCGGGCTTCCAGAGAGCCTTTTCAGTTTGGCACAAAGACTTCAATGACGCACCTGGAGCAGCGCTTTTGACTTCTCACTAAAGGAAGACAGACAAAAACTTTTTTTTTTTTTTGAGCATCTGGGTCGACTGTTCCATTTCAGACCTGCTTTTCTGTAATTGTATAGCCTATTACGCGCTCGGACATTTATTTGATGTTATTTATATCCGCACATGAGCAACTACGCCTGCGTTATGGCACATGGACTCTTCCCCCGAGAAGTTTGAACAGAAAAAAAAAAGCGAGAGCTTGTCATTTAAAACATCATCAAGTTTTCAAGGGTTGTTTTTCTTGCCGGAGAAGTCTATTTTATGTCGTTTGAAGGCGACCACTAAAGTTTGTAGTGGAGAGGGTTTTTGAAACGCGGTGTGCGCTCACCAAGTCCCATTTTCCATTGGCAGGCGCGCTGAGGTTCAGCGAGCAGCGGCGCACTCTCCGAGTTTCTCCCTGAGTGTGTGAGAGAGAAAGCAAGCCAGACAGAGAGTCAGACAGACAGAGAGGAGCTGGAGAGCCTTTGGTGCCTTTTTTTCTGATAATCCACGCTGTTGTGATGCGAATTCCCGTAGATCCCAGCGCCAGTCGGAGGTTCAGTCCGCCGTCCAGTAGCCTCCAGCCGGTCCCAGGGAAGATGAACGATGTGAGCTCCCCGACCGGGCAGCCGGACGCAGCGGCGGCGGTGCCAAGACTGCGTCCCCACGAAAACCGCAGCATGGCCGAGATCATTGCCGACCACCCGGCCGAGCTGGTCCGGACCGACAGCCCCAACTTTCTGTGCTCGGTCCTGCCCTCCCACTGGCGGTGCAACAAGACGCTGCCTGTCGCTTTTAAGGTGAGTCCCGACGCAGCGAAGAGCAGCTAAATGAAAAAGTGGACCAGCTACTGCAGGGAAAACAGACACTAAATGAAACCCAAAATGGATTTTTACTAAAAAGAAATACCCTCAAATTAATTTATTTTTAACTTATTGAATGTCCTCTTCTGTTTTTTTTTTTTTTCTTCCTTCATGTCCAACTTGACATTTTTCTCACCTGAACTTATTGTTGACGTGCATGTTGTCATCCGGAGCTTATTGTTGTGACATTACGAGCAAATTATAGTCTGAAAATGATTGTTTTAAATGAAATTAATTTGGAAAAAATAGTCCACGTGAAGTTTAAAGGGCTTTCATTTGAAGGTTTTCATGTCAACATGTTAAAAAAAAAAAAGAAGGAGGAGGAGGACTCACATGTATGTTAACACTGTTTTCTTTTTCCATTTTCTCAATATTGTATTTATTTCTAACAACTGGAAAATGTTCAGAATTATATAAGCTCATTTACCTCCATCCAGTGAATTGAGCAACATTACACTGAAGGTGGTAAATTCCTAAATGTGAAAATGATTTAACAAATTCTACAGCGTGTTGTATTTACGTGCCACAACCACATTTTGCTTTGTTGTAAAAAATTATTGTGGTGATTATACCAAATTATTGTAATAGGTGTTTACTTGTAGGGTTTCACTGAGCTTTAAATTTGCTGAAATGCACAAAAAACGATATTTTTAAATCCAGCAGAGAAAAACGCTTCACATATTTCTGGCCTCTTCAGCTGTTTTTGAAACCTCGACATTTTTTTTTTTTCTCTTCGGCTCCCATGATATTTCACAGGAAAGGCCCTATTAATTACTCGACAGACATTATTTAAAGGATGCATCAAAGACACTCCAAAGTGGGAAATTTGTAGCTGTAGCTCTGGCTCCAAATCAAATGTGACACTTTATAAAATATAAGTGTTATTTAACCATTCTTAGCGCTACGGCTCTGTAATTACTGCAGCTCTGTAGGCCTGCTCATCCTCTTTTATCTGCATCCAAGAATCTAAATGATAACACGAGGAGGCCTCTGCGCTTTTGTTCGAAGACACGGCATTTGAGATGATTCACGTAATCGCATTTATCATGATGTATCAAACTGCTTCGGGGGGATAAAATTAAACCCATTTATCAAGATAATTTGGAGGAGGATGGCATGATTTAGAGCCATGAGTACGGATGAGCTGCAGCAGAGAGTTCTGAATCTTTTTGTGAAGCTCAGACGAGCGAAATATGGTTCTAATTACACAAAGGGACAAGGGAGTAAAAGTTTTGTGTTCCCTTAAAACACCTCTTGAATTTCTGCCCTCTGACCCCTGACAGGTGGTCGCCCTGGGAGACATACCCGACGGGACCGTTGTCACGGTAATGGCGGGCAACGACGAGAACTACTCGGCCGAGCTGCGGAACGCCTCAGGTGTGATGAAGAACCAAGTAGCACGTTTCAACGACCTTCGCTTCGTGGGCCGCAGTGGCAGAGGTGAGGCTCTGGAGCTCTCTGTGGGAGCGATTAGGTTCAGTGGTGTGGATTAGTGGCCACATTCCCAACATGGCAACCACATAATGATCACTCTAAACCCCACCGCCCATCTCCCCTAAAGTCTGAGTGGCTGCTTCCCCCTCTCCCCTTGCCTTAATATGAGGCCCTTTAATACGTTTGAAATCTTTTAAAGCCAGATGACACACAGATCTTTGGACCTCAGCTGCATTTTTTTCCACCTTTTCCTTTAACGTTCACCTGACGTGACCCAGCTCCGCTCAGGCTCATAAACATGTTGGGTGGTGCTGAAGCCCCACGGCTCATCGCTCTCCGCACATATCTCCAGGCTGTCACGCTAAAAAATGCAGAGACTATTGAGTCATGTGGCATTCTCCAAATGTTTGGCATCACCAACTCGACTCTTTGCATCATTTACCGTCGTGTTACTAAATCATCTTATTGACGACGTTCCCCCTCTCACCCTCTGGAACAATTTTCTTATATTTTACAATAAGTTGACGGCGATAAACGCTGTCAGCAGCTTCACCGTCGACTTCTTAGCTTCCTGCTCCGTTGTCGGAAAGCAGAGGAAGGCGAGGGAGGGATGACGGTGTGAAGGTGGGGATGGCGGACGGGCCGGTTGCCACAGAGACCTCGCATGCGTCCCTTTAATGTGACACGAAATCCGGTAAACGGAAGTGACATAGGAGCCAGGGTGGATCGGACTACGAGGTGTCTGAAATGGATACCCCGCAGTGACAGATAAGTACAAGCAGAGCGAACTGATAGGATGTTAGATAGCTAAAAGTCGTGCACACAGAGGAGGACGGAGCCAAAGGAGGGGACTGATAGGTGCAGGGATGAAACTGCTTGATAGCGGCATGGATGCGTCGGACGGCTAATTTTAGAGAGGAATCAGACACTGCTGATGGGGTTGATGGTGTCGTACAGGCTTCCCCTCCACGCTAAGCACGAATTAGACGGCAGCAGAGAAGCAGGATGGTGGCTGTGCTTCACCCACATGCACCTCAGGTCAGGTATGTGGGACACCTGTTGCATCTGCGCCCTGATATCTCCCATCTTATCGCCCCCTTTGAAAAGCGTGTTTGTAATGAGCTGCGGCGGAAGAGGGGAGGACACGCACGGGTGGACGTCTGAGCAGGACAGCTGCTCAGATGAGTTGCTGCCCCCTTTTCTTCCTGTTTCCTGCGCGTAGCCATGGCGACGTGACGCGTCTGCATACCTCAGTCGTTAGTGTTGCTGCTGACTTGGCTGTTGCGCTCTGATTCACAGCATTCCTCGTGCATGCACATAAGAACGTACACACTTGCACAGACAAACACTCAACCCCGAGGCAGCAACTGCCGGGGATTATCGAGAAAGGAAGTGACTATTAAAATGCCTCTCGCCCCCTCACGCTGCATTAAAAATTCTGGATAACAAGATACTGGCTCCTGCAGTCAATCTTCCATTTAGGCGCTGCCAAAAAGTCTAAATAGATCCTCTCAAACAGCCAATGTTGTGTGTCGTTAATCCTCTTAAAGTCGATGTCCCCCCCTCCAGTTTGTATTGTGTATTATGCGATCACAACCACACTTGTGACTTGGGGATGGTTTAGAGATGAATACCGGTCATTGTCTACACGGATGGTATGTCATTTGATGTTGTTTGATGTCACCACAGGCAAGAGCTTCACACTGACAATCACAGTATTCACCAACCCACCACAAGTGGCCACTTACCACCGAGCCATAAAGGTCACCGTGGACGGACCACGTGAGCCCAGGAGTGAGTACCAACGCACGCACATGCAGCACCGTGTTGACTATGCTTACGCACACAGCAAACAACGTCATTCCTCTTTTATCCCTGTCTCACACCGAAACACGCCGACGAGTTTCAAAGGCAGAGAAGAACAGACAGAGTCAACTTTCAAATGGTCCTAAGCAGAAAAAATAACCAAATCTTAGTTTAAAATTATATTATATTTCATCAAAGTCACTTTATTCTAGCTGTTTCGTTTAAAAGCAATCACACAAAAATAAACCCTTTGCATCAAGTTCTTTAAAAAACTAAAACTCTACGACCCAATGACTGACTATGCTGCAACCAACACGGGACGATACTTTGTGGACTATTTGGCTGAACTGCAGGCAGTGTCTTCACATTGCCGGAGAGGTTGAGAGGAACATAAACGTACTCGAGAAAGAAACCAAATGTCTCAAAATTGGTGAACAGAGGAGCAAGTTGTTGGAGGATACATTCAGCATGGTGAAACAGCTTTCTAGAGCTGACGTGCAGAGTAGAGTGGAAAAGTTAGTAGAGGCTGTAAAAATTTAAACTACAAATAGTTGAATATGTCTAGTATGTAGAGCCACCAATTACTTTCCAGTTTTGTCAATACGTGTGGAAAATGTTGTACATATTGATGCCAGGTTTTTTTTATTTTTGTAATACGAATAATCGAAGATATATTTTTTTCTTTTTTTATTATCTATGGCGTGATAAGTGTGTCATACTGCACAGACGGCATCTTTGAGTTCTCTCGACTTCTAGTCATGATGGTGTTGTTTAGATAGAGGTGCAGGACTTTATATTGCAGTGAAAAATGAGCCCACCGTGAGCAAATAACGCCCGCCTGCTTGGGGTTAAGAGGGTTAATTTGTGATTAAATGGATCCACCGGTGATTTAGAGTTGAACTTATGAAATATTGGGGAGTCACAAGACAGAGAATGGAAGCAGAAGAGCACAAAATAGGCGAACTTTTGAGCTCCAAATCCTACATTTCCCATAAGGCACCTCACTAGATTCCACCCTGTAGTTCGTGACGCGGGATCTGATTTGAGATCAGATTTCTGGCAATATTATCTGAGTTATTTACTCACCACAGCCGCAATGTGGTTTGATGTGCAAATTTGGCGGAGTGGCCCTTTAAATAAGCTGTGGGCGTGGCTCACTGTGCAGCCAGCCAATCACAGCCAGCTAAAATGATAAGGAATAATTGAGATGAACAAAAAAAAAAAAAAAAGAGAGGTTTTACTGGAAAAAAAATTGTGGTAATTAGCAAATAGACGGAATTAAAGATAACCTCTGAGACAAAGCAGATCAGTCTGTCGCGTGACGGTTTGAGAGAAAGACGAGGAATGAAATGTGAGGCAAAGTATTCCTGCGAGGGTACACTGGGTAGCAGAGTGCTAGCATCAGCTCATTTTAATGGGCCATATAAAAACAACTGAGGAGGAAAAAAAAACTTTACTATAGCCATCAGTGCCAACTGGTCTGGCATGCAGCTGTTTCCACAACCCTCCTCCCTATTCATAAAAAAAAAAAAAAAAAACATATTCTCATCTCGTGGCGTCTCAATGAACAATATCACATCACAAACAACCCACCCACCCGCCTGCCCCGTCACATATGGCACCAGGACACGCAGGAGACGCCGAGGAGCCGGGAGACAGTAAGATTAGTACCACCATCACTCTGGGTTGTAGGAAACCTGCCTGTGGTGCCAAAAAAATTGCCTCGACATTCGGCGCTCATCAACATGCGCCCCTTGAAAACAAAGGCATATGCTTTCCTTCAAACGCACATGTACTCGCAATCACACCCACTTTCTTTTTTTTTTTTTTTTCCTTTTCTTTTTTTTCTTCTTTTCCCCCCACACCGCCATCCGTTCTCACTCTCGAGCCATCTTGTTTGATCAAAAGCATTTCCTGTGCATCTGCTGTCCCCCGTCAGATGACTTTCAAACAAGTCCTGTTATTTGGTGGCGAGCAGATGGGAGCCGGAACCGAGTTTGTTTAGAAAAGCTCAATTTGGTCTCAACAAAAGTTTTGCTCTCTCGGATTTGCGTCCAAAGCGCCTCGCTGGACGGCCCGAGCCACCACGCGATAGACGTATCCGACTCTACCTGACGTCAGGTGAGGAGATTCTGGCGCAATTACACGACTTGTTGTTTTTCTTTCTGTTGGCTCAATTTGCGCCTCTAAAAAAAAAAAAAAAAGCTAAAGTTTGCACGTTCTAACCTCAGTCTCAGGATAGTAATTTAAGCAATAAAGACTATGTCATCATACATAACCCCTGAACCTCTTTCCTTTGCTGTTAAGTGGTCAGAATTACAGTGGTGGTATAATTTACCCAGAAACTACAGCCAGAACACGTCTCCCTCTCAGGGGTCATTAAGCCGAGGTCGAAGGGTGGCAAAACACACATGTGCCCTCTCCGCCGAAAACCTCCCCCCCTCCTCCAGGTTTTTCAGAGACTCCGAGCTGAGAGCACCGGCTGTCTCCAGAGCTGCGATTCTATCTGTGTGAACGCTTCATTGAGACATGGGGGGCTTTGTCGGCCATTACAGCTCTATTTTGTGTTAAACGAGTGGGTAATTAGGAGGCCTGCCGTGCACCGGGCCCCTGCAGGGAGGTGGAGAAGGGAACAGTAGGCTGTCTTAAAGTTGACACACACTGGCACTCTGTGGCTCTCCGCGGTAAAAACGCCGCCGTGTTGTTTCTGGAGAAAGAAGCTGACAATAAAGGCCAATAAGAACATTCTCTGCGCTGATTATTTTTTAACACCTTCCACAGTTTTATTGGCATTTCTTCTCCTTGTTAAAGCCTCGCCCGGCAGTGCTGGTGGGTGTCTCTCTCGCTCTCTTTCTCTCTCTCTCTCTTTTTCAGGAAGGATATTGTGTGTTTGATGGGTCTTATGGTAGCCATATGAGTCTTCTTGAGGGATGTCATTTCCCCGGCGGCTCCTCGTCTAATATCAGAATAAAAGCGGGACCACCCGTGAACGAGTGGGCCTCGTATCTCTCAGCTGTGGAGCCCAAGCCCCCGGTTAATTAATTGCGTGGTCAGAGTGACGAATATCGGCGGGGGCCCAGTTTAGAGATCTGCGGTGTGATTTCCCTCCGAGGTTTTACAGCCGCGCGCTCGTGTGTGTGTGTGCGGGGTTTGGTGAGCGGTTAGTCAGGTCCCTCTGGCCGCCGTGTTATTAGCGGGAGGCTAACTCGGTTTCTGCGGCTCGCATTGTGCTTAATCGCTTGACAGCTCTCGGTTACCCTGTGGTTTGCCGCTGCACCAACAACTCGCCGGGTGTGTGTGTGTGTGTGTCCATGCGTGTCTGTTTGCTGATGCAGATATGATTTGCAAATGTGTGTGTGTGTGTCTGCATGTGTGCACCCACATGACATGTTGTGCAGAGAGAGAAGCGTGTGTTATTGGTATCATTAGTCTAGCGTAGCCACAGTGCTGATTTGGAGCAGAGCTAATAGGCCTCATTAAATGTCATTTTGAGCTAATAGACAGGGAGTGGCTGTTTAAACCAATATGCTTTTATAGGTGGCTCTGTCTCCTTTCAGCTGCTCCTGACGGTGGCCGACTGAGACAAACTTCCTGAGCGATAATAGCCGAGGCGTAATAACACAATATACAAGGCTTTCTGTCCAAACCCACTGTTCTCATTAGAGTTAATTGATGACAGACAAACATGGAAGGTGACAAAAACCATTGTGGCGTCACACACACACACACACACATATACACACTGGGTCTCGCTGTGGCATATTGCAGTGGTTATTCTGCATAACTGAGGAGTGTGTGTGCGTTGTGTGTCAGCTGTGGAGGTTAGTGGTCAGACCCCGTCTCCGCTCGCTGGTGTTTGAAGCAGGCGGGTACTCGGGGGGTTCTGGGCTTGGGGACGGGGTCGTGTTTTGGTTCGGTTTTGGTCAGGGTGTTAACAAGTCTGGTGAAGAGGCCCTGGTTACTTACAAGCCTGCAGACAATATTAGTGGTTCGGGAGACCTGTCTGCCAAGCCAAACTCTTGCGACACACACACACATGTACTCACATGATACTTACATATGCAGCTACGCGCCTCTATATTTTCACCATAGTGGCGGCTTTGTTTGTAGTTACAAAGAGCTTCACAGAAGGCAAGATTTAAGGCAAGAATATGTGTGAAAATGAAGCTTTAAAATACTCTAATATGATGACAAAAAGGAAAATGTAGTCGCAAGTGGCAATTTGCAGGTTTGGGTTCAAGAGGAGGAAGCATTTAAAGTGCACACAATTAAAGGCCATGAGAAAGTTTTGGGTTTGGAGAAGCCAAACTGAGCCGCAGTGTGCAAGAGAAAGTGTACAAGTTTTACCAGGTTTGAACTTTATCAATAATTACAGATGACCTCTTCTCATAAAGCAGGCGTAATTTCAATTTGACCACTTTAGCCTGTTTATCCAAGTAGACAGGTGATAATTTGAACGTTAACAGAACAAGAAGAAACACAAATAAAAGGATGTAACAGGCTGTTTCTGAACCAAACAGAGAGCATCCGTGCAAATTTTGTATTGCTGTCATGTGCTTTCTGGGCAGTTTGCAACTAATGCGTTTAACTGAAACTATTCGGCATTTCTTGGAGCAATTTTCCTCTTGTTAATAATGAAGTGTCCATCACTGGTACATATCGGTACCGTTTTATCGTCCACATCTAATTCAATAAATATGGTGTTTCAGATTTGGGTTGAGACTCGCCTGAGGATCATGTGCGCCATAATTGGTGAAATCCTTTTCACTGGGTTTTGATGTTTTTGTGACGTTTGTGGCATTTGTGTCATCCTCTGTGGGTTGGTAGTAGACCTGTTTTGAAAATATCTACCAAGATTTATGATGATTTGATTAGTGTCCCCACTAAGCGGCGACCTTTGTGATAGTTAGTGGAATTGTGTGGCTTATTCCTGCAATGCTGTGTACCAAATTTGGTGCTACAAGTACAGATCCAAAGAGCGGATGCCC